AACAGCTGATTGGCCAGTGGGTGGTGCTTTTTATAGGATCAGATTCAACCCTGAACTTACCCTGCTCCGGAGCAGGATAGCCGTTCAGAGTAAGTTACCATGGTGATCTACCCCGATAAGAACTGAACCGGCTTCGTGAGACCGAAAACCCAGGGTTAACCCTGAAGTTACCTCGCTAAGGCATTAATCCTGCTTCGTGATACAGGCCCCAGAAGGTTTGAGGAAAGTTTACAAGTGTTTTTGTAAATCATGGTTTACACATGCATTGTAAAATATAGCAGTAACAAGCCAAAGACATGGAGCAAAGTGAAGTTTCACGTAGTTCCAACCAGTAATACGGACAGGATGAAACAATGGCATTTTTTACCTACACTACACAGAAGCTCAGGAATTGTTCAAACGCTTTTCTTGAAAGATACTGTCATACCATCTGTTGGCGCATCACAAAACGAGCAGACATGGTAAGTGATTGTTGTGTATTTTGCTCAGCAATCTCTCTGCTGTAACGTTACCTCCACGTTGAGTAACATTAGCCTACAACCCAAGCATGGTAAATAAGGCTAAAATGCAAATGTTGTTGTGGTTATGTTATGGATAAGTGCTTGCCCAGAGCATATAGTGAAGTGACTGGCATTACTTCTCATTGTTGGGAATAAACAGACTGCTAGGGAACATTTTATGTTGTTCCCTCAGGAGTTGTGGTGATTTATGAGTGTGGAGTTAGCATGTTCTCCCCGTGTTCCGGTGATTATTTTGAGGCGTACTCTATATTTATATTGCACAGGTGTACCTAATAAAGTGGCCAGTAAGCCCCACATTTACACCACCGGCTCTGGGTCTCTCCTCAGCCCCTGGTTGCTTGGCAGCCTCAGCCTCTCTTCTTGCTCTCTCTTCTTCCAAAACCTGTAACTCTTCCTCTGTATATTCTGGCTTCTTCTCAACAAACTTGTTGTTTTGATGACGGGAGTAACTGCACTAAACATACGCTGTTTGAAATCACTCCGCCCAGCAAGTACTGTATGTCTGGAATGTAGTTCCGGCTCTGCATTTGGCTTCGAAACAACTCTGTCTCGTAATATTACATTATTATTTCATAGCGTGGTGAATGTGTAAGCTACAAGTTGTCCACAAGAGCGTTTTGGAGTCATTTGATGGTGTATTTGATTAGTTTTGAGGGAGAGAGGGACCTGTACCATTCACCTCCATTTCAGTGGGCAGCTCTTTAAACCTGTTTTGCCTAGCAAAAAATAGCATTAGCATTATTACAGTTAATAAAATGCACCATGCTAATCAAGCTAACAGCTAACTTTAGGGTTAGCTCCACCCTCTCAACCAAATATGGTCACTCCTGGCCCCCAAATCAAAGATGGCCAAGCTTGAGGCTTCAAAATGGCAGTCCACAAACTGATGACAGACATTACTGTGGCTGTGTCTATGTTACACAGTCAATGTTTTGATCAGAGCTGAGCAGCTTTAACAGGAGCAGTGCTTAAAGGATAGGTTCATGTTTTTTCAAATCTGTCTTCAAACAATACTCAATACTCAATCCCAGTGATGGGGGACAAAATAACCTGAAACCATCCTTTGAGGGTCATAATGGGGGTGAAGCTGATCACAGCTGACACTGGGCAAGATGCAGGGTTCACCCTTGACAGATTGCCAGGCAATCACAGGTTAGCCAGTCATAGAGACAGACAACACTTATGCTCCCAGTCAGACCTGTGGGCAGTTTCAGAGACGCCAGTTAACCTAACCTGAATATTGGTGGAATGTGCCTTTGGACTTGAAAACATACTGTGGATAAATATGTAACCTGCTATATGTCACCTTGCTTTTTGTGTGATGAAACTTTGTTTTATGCCTCTGTGAAACAGTCAAGTTACACTTACAGTGTGTTACACCCCGAACTGAACTGGTGATTTGTGTCACCAATTCAGTATCTGACCAAATGTCTCCCATGTTAGATCATATCATCATATCTGCTACTCAGATATGTCAAATAAGGCGTTCTTGAGTCCAAGTGGACGTTTGTGCCAAATGTAAGGAGACTCCCTCAACGCCTTCTTGACAATATGAGAATTAGTCAGACGCATGGTCGCAGTGACCTTGGTATTTGACCACCAAATTCTAACTGGTTCATTGTCAAGCCCATGACGTTTGAGTCAAAATTTAAGAAATTCCCTCAAGGTGTTCTTGGGATTAGTGTCCATGAGAATGCAGTGGATGGGGTCACAGTGACCTTGATCTTTGACCACCAAATTATAATCACTTCAATCAAAGTGGATATTTGTACCAGATTTAAAGAAATTAGGTATTCTTGAGATATTGCATTCACAAGAACGAGACAGCTTCAAGGGCACATTGACCTCAACTTTTGACTACCAAAATGTTATCAGCTCATCATTGAGTCCAAATGAACATTTGTGCCAAATTCGGAAAAATTCCCACAAGGTGTTCTTGAGATATCGCATTTACAAGAATGAGACAGACAAGGTCACAGTGATCTTGACCTTTGACCACCAAAATGTAATCAGTTAATTGCTGAGTTCAGATGAACGTTTGTGCCAAATTTGAAAAGTTTTTGAAATATTGTGTTCACAAGAATGGGAGGATGGACAGACAGAAGGACAACCCGCACAACACCTACTTTACAACCATTGACCCAAAGAGTCTTTAAGTCAGTGTACAGCAGGTTAGCTGAACGGTCCCATGTGAGCAAACAAATCAGCACAAATGGGGAATAAAGTTTGTAAAGTCAAACAATATGTTAGTTTTAACCAAACTCTGTTGCTGTCTCATATCTTTATCTCTGATCTTTGTTTCTGTTTTAGTTGTAATTACACAACTACATGATGAGCTTTTTCCAGGAAGTGTCCAAAGAAATTTGCGACCCATAAAATAAAGCTAGCAAATGCAATGACAGTCTGTCCAGTAGTTGTCAAAATGTCAGACAGAAACGAAGTATCAGCACTAAAAAATCATAACCAACTATCTAGTAAAGATGAAGCCACAGTGCCAGGGAGTACACATGCATAAAAAATATTGCCCTGTCCCTGGAATGATGTGCTGTAATAGAGAAGTGCTTACTGGAGCAGATCAGAGGAAAGAAGGTCAAGAGTTCTTCTTCTTTTGAGGCAGGAGGATTTTAGAGAAAGTAAAGTAGGAGTGTGATTAATTTTTTCTTTTTTTCTTACCTCGAGGAGGAGCAGGGCTGGGCTGGGCCTTTGGCCGAGTGGGTGGCTTGAGTCCCGGTGGGAGAGGTATCCCACTGGGAACTCTCTGTGGAAGAAGATGAGACAAGAAGGTCAGTGAAACAGCATTTTGTTTTTCTAATGGTGAAAAAAACCTGTAGTATTATCTCCCAGCAGGAAACTTATCTTTTGTTGAAAGGAGTACAGTAATATGGTAACTGTTCCAGCTCAGTGGCTTAACTTTAGCAGGCATTTTAAAAACCTTTTCATGTGTTTTTCCTGACACAGCAGTTTTGCTGGCTGGTCTCGGGGGGTGCAGCAGAGATAAAGCTCTGCTCAGTATGAGTCTAATTTTGTCTCTGAAGTGCCACCATTAAAGCTCTAAGCTGACACCCAGTGTGTGTTTCCTCTCAAGATGACCCTGAAATATAATGGCCAACATTATAACACTACATTACAATACATTACATTCTCCTTTTTGCCTTTGGACGTCTTGACATCTGCAGGCTCAAGCAGGGACACTGGCAGAAGTCCTCTCTGAAAAGTAAAGGATTGAACATCAGACAGTGAAATATAAAAGACAAAACAACCAGCTTTGTCACCAGCCAACAGGGTCTCAGTATTGTGTCGTCTGTGTTTTTTTGGGGGGGCCAGCAGAAACAAGTTGTGAACACAACATTCATATACCATTGCCTTAAAGGTTGATATGTCAAATTTGTTAGCAAAACATTCATTCGTTTGGAGTCACCTGGACCACCTGGGAAATGTAAAGGTTTAGACACAACAAACTGGCATCAAAAAAAAAGTGGTGACGTAAGCCAACTGTTGTGTCACCTCATGTCGCCTGTGTCTTGGCCAAAAATTTGCATTTGAACACACCGCAGAGACTACGGCTAAAAACAAACAGGCACATACAGTCTGCACCCACATAAGGGGAAATAACTCTCCATAGCAGCAGGTAGTCTGTATTTATCATTCAGAAAGGAAAACCAGAAGACTGACAAGATGGATTCAAGATGCTGATGAGCCAGTTAGCACATTAAAAACACAACTTAATGTTCAAAGAACATCAAAGTTTACTCTGCACTAGTGAACAATAACAGACAATTACGAAACCATTTCTGCTAAAGAGCCCAAAGGCTAAAAGAAAAACCTTACCTAATATAACAAGTTATTTTGATCGCACACCCTCTTGATTTTACTTTCCTTGCTTCCATTCTCATGCACTGAGCTGAACTGCCAATCAGAGTGATTTCTCTCAACAGGGCTCAACCAGCTCAGACATTGATTGCATTCGTTAAATTGTCAAAACAGATGACTCAAGGAACGAACGCTCTTCAAAGTCCTGATGTTGACTGAAAGTCGACCATTGGCTTAGTGTGTCAGGGTCCTTAGTTCAATATTCACTCTGTTCATACTCTGGTTTGGTCTCTACCAACTCCTGAGGGAAGTGTCTGACTCTGTGGCTACTAAATGCTTCACTATTCGGTGTTGAGCAGGTAGGGGTATAACACAAAGCTGCTATCTGTATCAGTTTATGTACCAATTAATGGTACTGATTTCTAAATCAGCATTATCTATGCAAATCTAGGTAATGTATACACATCCGGGTACACCCTTAGCATAAAATGTATATTAAATATGACCTAATAATTCAATTGTTTATTAAAATTAAGTAATTACAAATGAAAAAAAATCTTGTTTTTTCTTTTTGTTTTTTGGTAGTCAGTCAAAATTTTCTTTTGGAGGTGATTTGGTGATTTGATCTTTTTGTTAAATGCAGAACTCACAGAGAATCTGCAAGTTTCACTAATGCATTCATACATTCTTTTTTGGAGAGGGGGCAACTTCAAACACATCATTTCACATAAAATATAATCTAGCAACTGAACAACTGTGGACTCATGTAGCTAGATCAGCACATAAGAAAGAAAACTTCATTTTAAAATGAATTTAAAGCTTTAAAAACATCATTACAAATTACCACCAACTCTGCAGACCCCTCCACCAAACAGCAGACAGGCACTGATAGCAGCAAGCTAGTGAACATAGTGGAGCATTAAGCAGCTAAAGATACAGTTATTGCCCCCAAGATTTGGTGGAGACCAAAGCAGGGCTAAAAGAAGAGTTAATATTGGACTCACATTCAACAAGTGGACACAAACTTGACTCTAAACAAATGCTAATGTTGCTCCATGTCTGCTGGATCTGTACAGTACCCAATATAGGCAACTGTTTGCTACCATGTTCATTTTATAAGGTCATAAGATGTAAATGTGTTTTCAGCCAATGAACAGCGTCAGGCTTTGATGCCAATTTGACATTATGACATTCGGGTCTGTCATGTCATGCCATTGGGCCTAAAAAGACTTTTTCTCATAGACTACATTGTGAAAGCGACATCTGTAAATCAGTGGATACATTTTTTCAGTGCCACAATTCCCACAAAATGACTCATTTCACAACCAGGATTTGATGCATTAGGTCCAATAACAACTCAAAAGTCATGAAGAGCCGTATGATTAAATCATTTTATCCCCATCCAAGATAGCAGGGGGCTGAACCACACATTAGGTTGACTGGCAAAAGTCTCTAGAGCACTTGCTCTATGAGCCCGCAGTTTGGAAAATTTGGGTAATTTTATGCCTGAGACTTTAAACTTTTTTGGCTTCGTGCACCACTGAGCAACTTTCACAGGAATTAACAGGGCCCTGCATCCAATGCTGTGTCGAGTTCTCTTTATACATCAATGTTTTCCGCTTGTTCTGCTGTACCAAAAAAATAATTTAATGCAGCTTCAAAACTCCTGATCTTATATATAATCTCCAGAAGAGAAACTATGATTTTTTCTCAAGACATACAAAAAAACAAATACAACTCTTAAATCAGTCTATAAGATTTGTACCTTGGGTGATTATAGATTCTCTATCTCCTCACCTGTCCATCATATATGACAGTTACCATCCCATCCCTGTCCTCATCGCCAAATAAGAACACCATTGCCCCACCTGGCACAGTCAGCTGTCCCTCGCCTCGAGCCATGTATGGGGTCCGCATGCGCATGTATCGAGACTCCCTTACAGGTGGTGAAAAGACAAAATCAGTCATACATCTACAAAATGTTTACTGTAATGTGTTGTTCACATGGTTAATAGTATTCCTGTGTGCCTGGTAATACTCACTGAGCTCCATCCATCTTGGGCTCATAGAAACCAGGTTTCTGTGGTGAAGAGAGTGATGTTAGCAAAGTAAGCAAATGGGATTACTGACAGTATATTTAATCATACTGACACTGTGGTTGTTCTTACTTGCATCCTCAGAGGTTCAAAGCCTCCAAAATCATCATTGGGAATCATGGAGGAAATCACCTGCAAGCAGAGCATCTTAATTTTACTATTGTTCTGCAACATTTTGGTATTTGAGCATCTTACCATACACTTATGACACAGCATTCCCCATGAGGACACTCTACCTTTGCTTTGCCCAGGAAGTCTCTTTGCTTCAGCTGCTCCACATCTTGTTTACTGGGACGAAACACCACGTTCTCGGGCACCTGGAGAGGGGCCAGGACCTCTCCCCTCTGTTGTTCAAGAGATATAAAGATGATGATTATGCGCACATATAAACTGTTTGAACTGTTTCACAAGTGGTTTTAATTTTTAGAGTTATAAGATCATTATTTTTAGTAGAGAATTTTAAGAATTCATTCATTCACTCATTTTCTGTAACTGTTTATCCTGTTGGGGGTCATGGGGCGGCCAGAGCGTCTCCCAGCTGACATTGGGCGAGAGGCGGGTTACACCCTGAACAAGTCGCTAGACTATCACAGACCTGACACATAGAGACAGACACCCATTCACACTCACATTCACACCTACAGCCGATGTAGAGCCTAACCCTAACCCTAACTCTAACCTGCATGTTATTGGACTGTGGGAGGAAGCCGGAGTACCTGGAGAAAACCCATGCTGACATACGGAGAGCATGCAGACTCCACACAGAAGGGCTCTCTCACCCTGGGTTTGAGCCCATCATCCCAGTTTCAAACCAGGAACCCTCTTGCTGTGAGGCAACAATTTGAAACACTGCACCTCCGTGTCGCCTGAATTTTAAAAATATTTAGAAAAAAGCCACAAGAGGAGCAATACATTTCATTTTCAGCTAGGGACTTTTAGAGTCAGCTCTGACCTAAATGATCTGTACTGCTTTGTGAGACAGTTGTTTAACAGTTTTATCAGTGTAACTATTACCTTAGCCTTTGCCATGAAGATCTACAAAATACTGACCTTAAGTTATCACTTAAAGACACAATGAAATGGCTCCTCTACTTCCTATGATGCAATTATATTGAAACAGGTTACTGGAGTGGGTGTTAGGGCAGTGAGATATCATTCTATGGTTGGTAGAAAGGCTAGAGCGAGACCAGTTTTATCTCCTTTAAATCTGGCTGGGGGAAAGTGAAACAGCAGTGCCCCTCATTCATTATCACCAACCCCCACTGCACCAATGGAGCAGGTCAGACTGTAGTGGTCAGGACATTCCACATGAGAGCTGGGCTCTCAGTGAAACCTCCCTAAATAAATAAAAGTCAGAAAAAAGCCATCTCACAAGAAGAAAGCTGATTGTTCTGATAGAGATGGCAGAAGAATAGGACTTCTTTAAACAGTGTTTCTCAAATGGGTGTATATGGGTACCCCTAGCAGTACTTTGGAGAACTGCAAAAAACGCAGTCACAGTCATGTTTATGTTTGTTCACTGTGCGTTTCTACCAAAAATGTTTTACACTGGACAGGTGGTACTCCAGCCCGCTCTCACTCCCAACTCATCAAATACTATCACTTTGTCAGTGATCTCGGCATAAGATACCTACGCAACAACTGAACTTCTCAAATTCCACTGTTTTGTCAGTGGATGTCCTCGGAAATAATGACACCTACAGGCACCTGGTGTTATGAAACACACTGGTCGGTGGCACTATAGTATAAAGAGCAAGAAAGTGCCTATAGGGCAGGTGGGAGGGGAGGTGGATGGGTCAAACAAACTCTGCTCTTCGCTTCCTGTGTGAAACCAAATATCAACAAAGAGTGCTAGTATAGTATGCAAAGCATGCTACAGTAATGACATACGTATGTGACGTTAGTTGGTAAGAACCGTACTTATTTTATGCCAAGCCATGATGTTTTGTTGTCTAAGTGTAAAGAAATAAACTTAAAAAGGAAGTGTCTTTTAAGTAGTTTTTTTTCTCTTTTTTTATAAAAGGCTGTATGCATGTAACGGGCAGAAACTGTACTTTTCCTGTGAAAATGGAAGTGTATTTTGAAAGGACACAATGCATGTAACAGGTGTCAATTGAGAAGCTGTCTGTGAACGTCCAAAACTGAGACAGAAGGGTACCTAGCATGTCATATTTTCAGTGAGTGTATATTTTTACTGCATTTAGGTCCACTAACAAAGTGGTGCTATTTGACGAATTGGGATGAGAATGCGTTGGTTACTCAGCTGAAAAAAATATTTCAAAGGGGTACACATCAATCAAGAATGTTTGACAACCACTGCTTTAAGAGCATGCTTAAAGAGAGTGCCTAATTTTCCTCTGACCCATAGTGCAATTTATTAGTCTAGATTGTTTTGGTGTGAGCTGCAGCGTGTTGGAGGTATCAGCTGTAGAGATGTCTACCCTCTCTTCTAACTATATACCTGTCAACCATATCTCTGCACAGGAAGAAGCATGCATGTAGTCATGGATGAGAGACCCATGCTCGTGACAGCGATGTAAACATTAATGGCACCCCCCCTTGGCTGAGCTATTTTCTCTCACCAAAGTACACATGCCGACCATATCACTGCATGCATCTACTGCAAGCTCACCTAGCACCACTGAGCTAGCTTATGTTACAGCTCAGCCGGGGAGATTGCCATGAGTGGTGTTCATACCAAACGCGATGCGAATTTTTGCATTGCGTTACTCACGCAAGTTTAAACACTAGAATATTTTATGTTAACTCACTTCATACTTGTGAATACCTCAAGTCGTATAAGTCTGAAAACACCTAATCGATGAATGAATGGTAGGTCCTTGGCTTTATACTCAGGAAATGAATGCTTGGCTATCATGGTGTGAATTGGTCGCTGAAGTTCAGATTTTTCAACCTCGCACCACTTAATTTGCATGTACCAACTGTACCTGTAAGGACACTCGGCATGTGGAGAGGTGGAGTCTTGCCAACAACCCTGCAATAAATGGATGACCCACTCCACTAAGCCACCAGCCAATACAGGATATAGTTTGGCCAGTTCCAGATGAAATTAAAGTTTGGCAGCAGTGATCCTGGCTCAACAGACATTGATTTAACAGTTTCATAATTTTGCCCTTCCTAATATTTACCTTTGTAGTTCAATAAGTGTATCATACATCATACATACCTGCTGCAGCATTTACCACCTGCACTTAAGATAAATGGGTTTCACTGCTCTCACCTCTAGGTGCCTGGTGAGTGGCACACAAGCATGGCCAAATGGAGCACAGCCAATTATTCACTGTTCACAGGAAGTTCAAGTTTCCATTTCATTGTGTCTTTAAAGCACAGTGAGGGTGGGCACAACTTTGGAGAATCATTCTCATCTTTCTATCCTTGTTAGGACAACAAGTATGGCAATGGCAGAAATGCAAACAACAAACATGCTTATGTTAAACAATGCAGGGGCAGTTGACTTTGGAAATTTATCACCAAAGTCTGTGTCATGATCTCTGCAGTCTGTTGTGAAAGTTGGGACACTCACCAGGACACTGTCCATAGCTGCTTCTAATTGTCCCCCTCGCCCTCCTCCTCCTCTCTCCTGGGAGGCTGACAGCAGGACCTCCCTGGCCCGCTCCCACTGGCCCATCCGACAGTACACAGCTGCTGCATTATATAATACCTAGGGGACACATCACAATTTCAGAACCATAGCATAAATATTCATGTTATCTTTGCTGATATCTTTGCATCATTTAACACAACAAACTGTGCAGGGGCCAGTAGCAATGATTCAATGATAACAAACGTTTCTGTCTTTCCAAACTCTCTGGATTTGGTACAAACCCTCCCCACGCACTGAAGCTTTAAGACACTAGAGGACGGAACTACAAAGGCTAAAAAGCAGCATCATTATTCAAGTATTCACCAAGGTGACATGTCTGTGCATGAGATACTTCTGTTGGGTCTGTGATTTAAATAGCCAGAGACCAGTGCCAATTTCACAAGTTTTTCCACCTTGAAGAATAACATAGAGAAATGTAGCACAGTGCATTATTTATCCTTTTTATTGTGTCAAGGAAATTGTCAAACTTTGGTGTCTGGATTCTTTATGTATATATTTACTAAGTGCTCCGGTTCAGTTTGTTCAGTCGTTAACTGTCATTCCTCTTCTGTGGAATTGCTCTCCTGTGATGGCAGCGAAACAATAGCTGCTCTGTCACTGATGGAGACATGCCAACAACTGAGAGTCTGTCACTCTACTGAGGAAGAATGTGTCTCAGCTACAGAGCTCTTAACTGATCATTCAAATAATAATGACTGAACGCCAATATCTGATATGTTCCAAAATATACGTGGTTTGTGTAAATTTAGGGTATTTGAACATTATGAGCCATGAATATTTAACCCTCTGAGACCCACAATAGACCACTTTTTTTTGTTTTTAGAGGGAACAGAGGGATCTTTAGTGGGAGATAGAAGGAAAACACTAAATGCCCCATTGAAGTGGTATATCATCTGAAAGCAGGGAACTTGGAGATTAATTTGAGATGCAGCTCAGCACTGTGTGTCAAGTTTTTGCGTGTCATGAATCTATAACAAGCATTGTGTTTGGTTTGATGTCTATTTAAACTTTAAAAGTTTGTAAAGGGGCTTAGAGCATATAGTATAGAGTATATGACGACCATTCTAACATCCTAAGTGATACCATTTTTATAGTACAATAGAATAGAATAGAATGTCCACCATAGGTGGACATTTGTCTTCACCTCACCAAACAGAAAAGACAACATTGTAAAAAGCAGACAAATAGTGAGTTAGTCAGTCACACAAGCATTTAACACCTAATCACGTTAAATCAGCTTATTGTCCAACTGTGGTTTAACACTCATCATTCGCTTTATTGAGTTAATGATACTAATGGCACTTGGGATGAAGGACTTCTTAAATACATTTTTAGTTTCCAGACAGACCCTCTGTAGCGCCTCCCAGAGCTCAAGTTCTCAAACTGGCTAAAGAGAGGGTGGGAGCTATCTGCCAAGGCACTCCTCCCTTTCTTCCTAGTCCTTTCTGTAAAGAGTTGGGTCAAGGGCTTTTGTGGCTTGCCAACTATTTTACTTGTCATTGTCACAATCCTAGCGAGTTCATTCTTGGATGTACATGATGTTACACAGATTGTGTGCTAAATTTTCCATTTTTTTACCACTGGAGAATTGAGAAAATTTGTCAAAAATCCCTCCAAAACCAGATGAATACACCAAGACCTTTAGGAACATAATAGAAAAAACATGCTGTGATTTGGTATCAAAAGCTTTTGACATTTGGAGATTTCTGTAAGAACTGGATTTTTTGGCGATCGGATAGAGAGCACTTCTGCTCTGGAAACTGCTCAGGAACCCCTTTATTGTCAATATACCTTTGAGAGTCATCCATCCTCTGAATGCCCAAGGTCTCTAGTTTGAAGCTGTAAACTTTCAACAATGTTATATGCAATAGAAAATGTGCAACTACTGCTTTCATGGCACTGTCCCTGCTGGAAAGGCAGCAACTGGTCACTACAAAACATCAATATTTGGTACCCAAACAGGCCAAGTCAGCCTATATACTATGCATAGATAGTATGTCACTTTAGATACTATGAAACATGCATTGCTATAACATTTCCTTGTATGTAACATTTTCTTCTGAAAACTTGGCTGCCATTTACCACCAATCACATGAACCTTTATTCAATCTACAAACCATTGTTTTACCTTTGTGCCCCATCATTATAATCATCATTACCATCATCATGCATGATAGTGTGGATTCCCATCAGAATGTTGCTCCAGATTCAATTGAGTTCATCGGATTTCCTTGACAACCAGTGGAGCTGTCATGTAGTTTATATAAACTTTGGGCTATCATTTCCATCGTATCGCAGATAGATGATGCTGAGTGTGTCTGATAATGTGATATGATTTCTCACACTGATAGTCACATTAGCCTGGTTGTAAGCACATTAGCTGGACTAAGCCATAGTTTAGCTGCTACTGAGCACAGGTGCATTATCTGTGGGAAGCTTGAGCATGTCTTATCTGTACTGTGAGAAATATGTGAAGTTGTGTAACCTCTTCTTCAGCCTCCATCAATGAGGCTTTGTTAGCTTCCAGGTGTATGCGACGTTTGAACTGCACAATGGAAGTGATGACAAAGCACAGTTTGTTCCGTTTTCATTCCTCAGCACAGACAGAACTCATGGGATTGGATTTTCTTTTTATTTCATTGTATTGTGTCAGAGGAAACATGCTGGAGGCTGACGCTTCCCTGTGTGAATGCAAGTGTATAGCACAGTATATGTGCACAGTATATGTGTGTGTGAGGCTGAATGTCTGACCTGCCAGCTGTAGAGTTTGAATCGCAGTCCCAGCTGTCTGTAGTCAATGACCATGTTTCCTCTCATATGCTTCTGTGCCCAGATACAGTCTGACAGAGCCTCTTCCAGCCTGGAGAGACAAGCGACGCACAAACAGGCAAACAGACAAACTCAGAGTTGGACAGGAAGGGATTAAAAAAACAGCACATTTTCAAAAATAAACAAGAAAAGCTTTCTACAAAAAACGTACTTTGTGGGGTGTTAGGGGTCAGACTTTTTGTTCGTCATGCAGTCTATGCTGGTTGCCTGGCAACCTCAAAGTGATGAAAACTCTCCAGAAAGTGAGAGTGCCCAGCCAAAACAACATTCCAGCACATAATCACAGATAAAACCACAATGTGACATTTATTTACACTTTGTTTTTTATGGATCAAACAAATGAGATATTAATATAGACTGTATAAAGTAATAGTCATAGCCACCATGATGTCCCCTATTGGTTTGTGGACTCCTGTTTTAGACATAGATGTATTCAAAAAATGGATAGGACGTTGAATGGTGGGCCCCGTTCATTCCTTGAAAAGTTGCTCAGTGACGCATGAAGCCAAAAGTTCAACTTCCTGACTATAAAATGACCCGGATTTAAGGTCAGATCAGCTAGGTTCTGGTTTAGCCCTAAGCAAACTTGAATGGGGAAAAAATGATTAAATCTCTTCTAGACTTTTGAATGGATCAAATCCTAGTTGGAAAACAATTCATTTTGTGGGGGTTGTGACACTCAATATAAATTTATCCACTGATTTACAGATGTCTCTTTTACAATGTAAGTCATTTTGGCTGGTGCCATCTTGGATTTTTGGAGCTCGAAGTGACTACATTTGGATGAGAGGATGGAGCCAACCCCAACCCCTTGGTTATCATGGTGCATTTACAGCTATGGTTAACAGTGATAATGCTAATGCTAATTTTCACTAGCAAAAAAAACAAAACAAAACAGGCTTATTAGTAAAGCAAAATGTACTTACTGGAAAAACTGAATGTTTGACTCTTTAGTTTTTTTGTACCAGACTGTAAACATGTTTTTTTCTGCTGTTAAGTTGGGCATTTTAAAATGGGGGTCTATGGGGACTGACTTGCTCTTGGAGCCAGCCTCAAGTGGTCGTCAGAGGAACTACAGTTTTTGGCACTTAAATTGGCTTCATTTTTCAGGCCCAGAGGTTGCTGCTTAGATATTAGGCCTACGTGTTAATTAGGGAGCTTTGGAGTTGCTGTTGGGCAGAAAATGTCGTCTTTGGACAGAACATGTTTCCAGTCGTTATGCCAAGTTAAGCTAACCAACTGCTGGCTCTCACATTTACAGTGCAGATATGAGATCACTCATCTTACTCTCACCAAGAAGTCAAATAAGCCTATTTCCTAAAATTTCAAACCATTTGTCAATACCTCGATGGTCTAACTACAAAGTCCAACCAATCAAGTCATCAGTACATTACCAACAACCCCTCCTGTCTGCCGTCTTATCAAATCAAACTGTAACTGACAGCCTGATCCATCACTTCCCTGTTTTAAGAGGAATTACTAACACATTCTCACTCCAACCTCGTCACATTTCAACATTTGGTCATGGACTTTCCACCTCGAGATATGGCATGCAAGGTACCCTGGGTGCGTTGGTTGTTGATGTTCTGGGACGCCGTGTCAATTTAAGCCTGTTACATGCATTGTCTGTTTGTACCGCACTATGTCAGTAAAACACTGAGAATTGACATTTTTTTCCTTCAGCAACAAACACATGTGGTTACGTATTGCTGACACATGCACGTGGTTGGGTTTAGGACAAAAAAATAGGGTTTGGCTTTACAGTCACACGGGAGGCAAATGCCAGTCTCTTGAGTGAAAGTCGGTGGTTGCAGGACCCATCCACCAACCCTCCTGTCTGCCTTTCTCGGACTGTCCCGCTGCATTTCCCCCTGATGCCACCAGTCGCCATTAAACATAAACAGCGACCGGCTGCACATCATTCTGAAATGAAAGATTGGCTTTTTTATTTGTGTCCAAAGCTGTAAGTCACTGACCAAGCGCTGGTTTTCGATGACTTGGGTGTGAGACTGAGTTGGAATTACATCACAATAAGGAGGCAACAATATAATTTCATGTGACCACAACGATGCACCTTTTAGTAAACAGCAGTTACAATGGCAGGATGATAGCAGACTGATTTCCCTTTATATTCCAAGCTCCTCTTGAGTAAGTTGATCAGCATTATGTGTGACATTCTAAAACAAGGTGTCACAGTGGTTTCAAAAGTTACTTAGTCTGTCTTTAATGCAGTATAGACTGAAAGTCAGTATTTGGGACAGGGTGCTGTCTCCCACCTGTTGATCTGCATCATCACTGCTGCTCTCTGGAAGAAACCAACAGCAAGACGTTCATCCTTGGCAATTGTGAGGTCTAAGGCCTGGACATCAGAGAGGGGAAAAGGCAAAGCTTTGTCACGGAAGTTATAATAATGTAACAAAATGGAGCATTGACAGAAATTTCAGTGTCTCCCTCCAACAATTATCCAACAATACAGACAACACACAGACCTGCAGGGCCAGGTCCAGCTGTCCCAGGACCAGGTGAGCTGAGGCAGTGTTGAACATAATGCGAGAATTGGGTTCACTGATCTGCTCCAGTTTGGACAGAGCTCCCTCCCAGTCCTTGGCGTCTGCTGCCTGCACCGCCTCGTCCCATAACCGCAGTAGCTCAGTGTAAAGCATTCTGGACATGGAAGAAAATAAAAGCGCAGCATACAGAAAAAACATTTCTCATTATTCATAAATTTTCATGTAATTGCCATAAAACTTCACTTAAAAACCTAGTCCCAGTTAAACACCCAGTCCCCTCTACTAGCCCAGTGTGTTTACTCATTTTGACAAATAAAGGCCTGTCTCAATCAGGTGCCTGGTCTGGTTGCCAAGCAGTTCTGTTTTTATTTTTAAACAAGTATTATTCATACGAATAAACAAATTAAAGACTGTTCCAGTTATGGACCCATTAAGTTCAGTGCTTTAAGCAAAGAGTAACCTGGGCTACTAATTGAAGTTACAGTAATAATAGATAAGCTGGCAATTGGATAAGGAAATAGAAAGATTTTACACAAATAAAATTACCTTTAAAAATGTAAATTACATATGCTTTGCAAACCTCATTAAATTTTGTGACAGTTGTCGTATTTTTCTATGTAAATGTTGGCTCTTAAGGGCTTTCTTAAGCATAATTGTTTAAAGATTGATCAACATATGCCCAGTGGTTATATATGCAGATTACTGAGTTTGCTGGAAATGTTACTAAATGCGATAGACACCAAATCAGACTGACAGACACATGTGTAGGGAAAACTACATGTTAGATTATAGATACATTGTAACATTACAAACCTACAGAGAAACTGAGCTGATGTTAATCAGTAACGTTCTGCACAATTTTCCTGGAATACTTCCTTGTATCTTCCCAGTGCCTTTCTGCACCTGTTCAGCTCAGTTTATACAAGCTGTGTAGTCTATCAGAGTAACTTAACACATCCTCCACAGTCACACTGCTTACCTTTTGCTCCTGAACAAAAGGCCGGTGAGAGTTCAGTCAGTGTCCAGCTCAGTGCCCGCTGCCCTTCCAGTCCTCACTCTGCAAACAGGGAAATAAGAGTGAGTGAAACAGGCCTCCTCAAGAGTCTCCTCCCTGCTGCTACAAGGAAGTCCTCCATCCATATTCCCTGATAGGACCCACAGAGGCACGCAGGCTCAGGAATTCACCTGTGGGTGAGGCACGTAGACAGGTAGTTAACACATACTAGTTAAACAGGATTTGATTAACCCCGTCTTAACTAATAACCCCCTGGGGATCCATCTCCCATTGGGATCTTGTGTTCAAACTAGTTTAGAACATGGATTTCTTACAGCAGATGCTTTAGTGCAATCACTCACATCATGTCAGGTAACCTCTAAATCACAGAAAAATGTAGCAAACTGACTGACAATGGTATTTTGTAAATACCCCAAATTTCCAGCCCTCTGTTGTCTTGCGTGGTAAAGCTTCTCTAATTCACGACCAAAATAAAGCTTATTGTAAAGCTTTCGTCCTACATGTTATTTGACCCAGATACTATTACAGAAACTCCATGACTGTGAAATCCTGTGTTATCTGTGTCGTAATGAGGTTAAGGTTTCTGAAACAGGTCTAATTATACTGAGTCATTATATCATGTTAACACACTGCAGGAAGCCTTGAGTTACTCTCTTGGGTTTACACCATAGATTTCCTGATTAGTCTATTCAGAGTGACCTTTGACCCCACTTTACAATTTTAGAGATGGAAGTCAACAGAAAAATGACTCAGCGTACCTGAAATCACAGCTCTTCTGACATAGAGTGATAAAGTTGGTTGGGTATACACATGGTTATGATGTAAACAGGAAACAAGGAAATGATTTGCTATTTCCAGTTCACAGCACAGTGGGTCAACCTGCTGCACAGGTTGTGTTGTTAATGTGGAGTACTACAGCCACACTGTGGCCCCGCCCACCACAAAAACTCAAATGCAGTACAGCCTGACAACCATTGGTGGAAATAGTATTCAAATTCTTTACTCAAGTAAACACCTAGTACAACAATATAGATATATTCCTTTGCAAGTGAAAGTCCTGCATTCAAAATGTTAAGTACAGTATCACCGTCAATTCAATGGTCAAATTATAAGAACTGATAATTACGCTATTCAGAAACTGTGCCTTTTAACAAGCTGCTGGGACTTCCATGACTTCCATGTCACAACTACTGTATACTATCATGTAGATAGAAAGTGCCACTACTGTCATTCCCTGGCTCGCATATTTATTTCTT